AGATCCGTTGCGACGATTCTCTTCAATGATATTCACAAGAGTTTCGTTCATTTTTGACATCTCTTCGAGCATTAGATCCGATGTCTTCACACAATCACTCAATTTCTTGATTTGGTCTTTCATTTCTAACATCTCTTTCTGACAACTGATCCAAATGTCAGTCAATCGGACCTCAAGTGTGTTGAATAAATGTCTTGAAGCCATTGTGTTAGCCATGGATTGTCTGATGAGCAAATGTCTTAAGCAGTGATTGTCTATTAAACAGATCTTAAGCCGAGAAATGGCATCAAATTTGTTGTCAACAAAAGTCACGTGTTTTTGATGTAAACATCATTTTTAGCGCAAACTTTGAATTCACGCATAAATTGTTTCAAATATTTTATGATTTTATTCACAATCAAATTTAATTGTCATTTTATATATCATTAAACATATCGTATATTTTAATATCAATGCATACAAAATATTAATTAATGAAAAGATAATTATTCAACACTTGAAACGCATTCTTCTGTTTATTCGCAGATAATATAAATGTTTGTAAATAGTCTTCAAATCTTAAACCATGTAATTATTGCACAAAACAAGAGTAAAAAAATTCAACTTAAAATAAATTTGTAATTAAATACATATTTATAATAATTAACTAATTTATAATCAGATTTGTGATCACTTCACTGTTCACACTCTCTTCAACGATCACATTATTAGATGAATAGTTGGGTTGAGTGTCCACTCGTGGCGAATGCTTAGGTTTGCGTCCCCTCTTCGCCGTCCAAACGCGTTCAACAGAGCCGTGACATCGCTTGCGGTGAAGGTATAGACTGGACGCCGACGTAAACCCACAGCCTATGGACACAAACATTAATACAACTCTTTAACAACAACTTACAGACCTTTTTCGGGGCAAACGTATGGCTTTTCGCCGGTATGCATGCGTTGATGGGTAGTCACAACCCATGCCTGAGTGGCCCGGAAACCGCATTCGGGAAACGCNAACATTAATACAACTCTTTAACAACAACTTACAGACCTTTTTCGGGGCAAACGTATGGCTTTTCGCCGGTATGCATGCGTTGATGGGTAGTCACAACCCATGCCTGAGTGGCCCGGAAACCGCATTCGGGAAACGCGCACACAAATGGCTTTTCACCGGTATGTGTGCGCATATGACACCTAAGCGTGCCCTTAGTGTTGGCCCTGTACTCACAGCCGGGCCACGTGCACGCCTGGGGCCTCTCTTGGGTATGAACGCCCCGATGGGCTTTCATATGATCGTTGCGATTGCACCTGAAGTCACATCCGGGCCAATCGNGGTGCGCATATGACACCTAAGCGTGCCCTTAGTGTTGGCCCTGTACTCACAGCCGGGCCACGTGCACGCCTGGGGCCTCTCTTGGGTATGAACGCCCCGATGGGCTTTCATATGATCGTTGCGATTGCACCTGAAGTCACATCCGGGCCAATCGCACGCCAATCGTTTGATACCCCTATGACTGTCTGCGTGGCGATTGAGGTTCTTACGGCTGTTTGTGGCGAACCCGCAATCCAACCAATCGCACACAAACGGCCGCTCAAGAGTCCAATCAATCCCGGGGGCGGCTGACCGGCGGCGGCGGCGGACGGTTTTTGGGTTCGGGTTATGCATCAGCCAATGATTATGAAAGGTCTTTTTGTTCAAAGATTTAAAGTTGCAGTCAATCTCATCGCACACGTACTGGTCGTCTACTTTGTATTTGGCAACACGTTTATTCATAAGTTCATAGTTCTGGCGCGAGTGCCTGCGTTTTTGGGCCAACTGTACGGTCACATCGGTGGCGACCAATCGGTCGCGTTTCCGCTCAAGAGTCCTATCAATCCCGGGGGCGGCCGACCGGCGGCGGCGAACGCTTAGCGGGTTATGCATTAACCAGTGTTCGTGAAATGTCTTTTTGCCCACAGCCTTGAAGTTGCAGTCAATCTCATCGCACACGTACTGGTCGTCCACTTTGTATTTGCCGATCCGTTCGTTCCGGAGCTCCATTTTTCTTGCCTGTGCTGCGCGTTTTCGGGCCAACTCTACGGTCACTTCGGTGGCGACCGCTTCAGCGCCGTTGTGAGCGATGATATGTTTGTGAATAACCTTTTTATTTGTTGATCTATAGCCACAATCAGATCGATCGCACGCATAGATCCTAGTCTTGCGGTCCAACAAAAGCATCAATAAATCGTCTCTTCTCTCCATTTGGCGAAAGTGCTGCGGATTGCTGTCCTTCGATGGATGTCTTCGCAGATGATTATAGAATCTCTCCTTATCTTCGGTCTTAAAGTGACACATGATATCATTGCACACGTATTGGTTGTCCAGTATGTGCTCCGGGAGTATCAATAAATCCATTTCTGAGTAAAGGTTTCTCACAGTTTTCATTCGGCTTTTACAAAGTTTGTCCATTGGATTGGAGACCAGTTCCTTCACTTCAGTCACACACTTTTGTGTCCCCTTTTGATGTCTTAAGTGGTGATTATAGAAAACAGTCTTATTTCTGGACCAGTATTTACATGACTCCCAATTGCACACAAATGCCTTCAGCTTGTGATCAGTCATCGGGAGTAACTCGTCGTCCACGCGCTCCGATCGCCGAAATACTTCGGCACTCATTCCGGAAGTTTTGTGTCTTTTGAGGTGATTATAAAACCTAAACCTATCGGCAGTACTGAATGTACAGTCGATTTGGTCGCACATGTAATCATCAGTCCGTTTGTGTTCGGGTCGTATCACTTGATCCATATCTGCTTCTGTGATATCAAAGCATTTTGCAATTCTCTTGGATTTCTTGAACTTCTTCGGAGATTTTCGTTTGCGTTTCACTTCATATTCACTATCGCTGTCACAAATGCGGTTCACTTCTGCCATATACTCGCCTACGCTATCACTCACACCACTACTCCTATCATCCATTTGTTCCATGTCTTCGTCTACAGGTTGATAGTCATCATCAGAGAAGTTATCATTAGATTCGTTAACATTTTCATCGACGGCTTTATGTATTGTCTCATTTGATTCAATCTGTGGTATGACTTCAAAGAGGTTGTCCACAATCGTGTCGTGAGTTTGAACAAATTGGTGACGCGTTGTTTTCATGTCTTCGTCCACCGGTTGATAGTCATCATCAGAGAGATTGATGTCTACGGCATTGTTGTCGTATTTAACAGCAATGGTGTCACTAATTGTCCCACGAATTGGTTCGCTATTTGGTAAGTCTTCACTCATATTGTTTACAATCACATCATGTGTTTGAATGAATTGGTCCCGCGTTTCGGTCACTCGTCTCCAACTGTGGATCAAATCCATAACATTGTGTCTATTGTTTGCATTCAACGACTTCTTGACTGCGAGTAAATTGTCTTTTTGTCGGTCAACCGATTCTTCGAGTTCTGAAAACTCTGCGTAGAGTTTATAAAGTGTTTTACTGTTGGATCCGTTGACTCGACGGTCTTCAATGATATTCACAAGAGTTTCGTTCATTTTTGACATCTCTTCGAGCATTAGATCCGATGTCTTCACATAATCACTCAATTTCTTGATTTGGTCTCTCATTTCTAACATCTCTTTCTGACAACTGATCCAAATGTCATTCAATCGGACCTCAAGTGTGTTGAGTGTATGTCTTGAGGCCATTGTGTTAGCCATGGATTGTCTGATGAGTGGATGTCTTCAGCACAGATCGTCTTTCAAACAGATCTTAAGCCGAGAAATGGCATCAAAAGTGTTGTCAACAAAAGTCACGTGTTTTTGAAGTAAACGTAATTTTTTAGCGCAAACTTTGAATTTCTTCATAAATTGTCACTAATTTTTATACTTTTATTTATAATTAAATCTAATTATAAATTATTTTATACAATATGATAAATCTATTTTTACTATTAATTACAAATAATGTTAAAATCTTATTATAAAATATTGTAATACAAAATATTAATCAATTAAAAGTTTATTATTCATCATTTACAGCACTTACAAAATAATTGACAAAATAATATATTTTTAAAAAATACATACTTATTAATATTAAATATTTTATTTAAAAATGCAAACAATTGAAATGCAAATCATTTAATTATTAAATTTGTGACCACTTTTCTGTCCACTCTTTTCAACGATCACATTAAATGAATGATTGAATTAAGTGTCCACTCGTGGCGACTGCAAGACTTTGCGTCCCCTCTTCGCCGTCCAAACGCGTTCAACAGAGCCGTGACATCGCTTGCGGTGAAGGTATAGACTGGACGCCGACGTAAATCCACAGCCTATGGACACAACCATTAATACAACGCTTTAACAACCATTAATACAGACCTTTTTCGGGGCAAACGTATGGCTTTTCGCCGGTGTGTATGCATTCATGAGTTGTCAGAACCCAGGACTGAGTGGCGCGGAAACCGCATTCGGGAAACACGCAGACAAATCGCTTTTCACCGGTATGTGTGCGCATATGACACTTAAGGGTACCCGTGGTGTTGGTCCTGAACTCACAGCCGGGCCACGTGCACGCCTCGGGCCTCTCATCGGTATGCATGAGCCTGTGTTTCCTCATGTGCTCGTGACGGTGCGCCCGATACTCACATTCGGGCCAATCGCACGCCAATCGCTTGAGACCCAAATGAATGCAGTCGTGATGGACTTTAAGCAGACTCTGTTGCTTTGCGGTGAACTTGCAGTCCAACCAATCGCACACAAACAGAGTCACGGCTGGGGGCGAGTGTTTAATCACGTGTTTGTAAAACATTGTCTTTGACTCCGACCGAAAACAACAATTCTGGTGATCGCAGACATAGGCGCCGACCGTCGGGTCCCACAGCGGGAGCGTTAAGTCGTCAATTCGCTCCAATTGGTCAAACCTATCACTCGACAGACCCGGCTTGGCATGTCTTTGCAGGTGATTAGAGAACCGCTGCCTATCGGGTGTCTGGAATTTGCACTCAGTTTTGTCGCACACGTATTGATCGTCCACTCTATGCTCGGGTCGTATCAAATCTGGTCCTTCGGTGATATCAAATTCAACGCTGTTATGATCGGCAATATGTTTGTAAATAAGTTTTTTATTTGTTGATCTATAGTGACAATCGGGTCGATCGCACGCATAGATTCTGGTCTTGCGGTCAAACAAAGGCATCACTAAATCGTCTATTCTTTCCCATTTGCGAAAGTTCTGCGGATTGGTGTCCTTCAATGGATGTCTTCGCAGATGATTATAGAATCTCTCCTTATTTTCAGTCTTAAAACCACACTCAGTTTCATTGCACACGTATTGGTTGTCCAGTATGTGCTCCGGGAGTATCAAACTATCCATTCCTGAATAAAAGTTTCTCATAGGTTTCGCTTTGGGTTCTTTGTGGCCGACAGTCATTCCATGACTCACGAGATGTTTGTAAAACTTCTCCACACTTCTAGACGTGTGGCCACAATCGGGTCGATCGCATGTATAGATTCTAGTCTTGCGGTCCAACAAAGGCATCACCGCGTCGTCCCATCGCTCGTATCGGCGGAAGTATTTGGGAGTCATTCCTGGCATCCGATGTCTTCGCAGATGGTTATGAAACCTCTCTTTAACTGTGGTCTTAAAGTCACACTCAGTCTCATTGCACACGTATTGGTTGTCCAGTATGTGCTCGGGTTGTATCAAATCTGGTATAAACTTTCGCATTCTTCGAGGGGTCCGTTGTCTCAGTCGACCTCATGAACAGTACCATCAGTTCGGGTCTCGGGTTTGTGTCGGCAGTAGTGTTGGTAGAAAACCCTTTTGTTTGCTGAGCTATACTCACATTCAGGCCAATTGCAGACATAAGCCTTCAGTTTGAGATCAGTCATCGGGAGTAACACGTCGTCCATACACTCTAATCGTCGCATCGCTTTGGGAGTCAAGTCATAAGTTGTGTGTCTTTTGAAATGATTATAAAACCTAAACCTATCGGCAGTACTGAATATACACCCGCTTTCATCGCACAGATAATAGTCATTCTTCTTGTGTTGCGGACGTATTAATTGATCCATTTGTTCATCGGTTACGTCGAAGA